TTGTTTAATTTTATAGATCTAAATACTTTTTGGTTCAAAAAATATTTAGGGGCTTAATCGTTCAAAATATGAATGTTCATTGGGTTTTTTTCCGGATTTTTTTTCCCACTATTTTACCACTTTAACTAGTTGTACAAGTCATAAGAATGTATCCAACATGTATTATAAAAGTTCAAAAAGTTATTTAACATGTTTTGGATTGTTCAATGACTTATTTGTTCCAAAAATTGTCCAAGGAGTTATTTAACATTTTTTGGAATGTCCAAGGACTTATTTGTTTCAAAAATTGTCCAAGGACTTATTTAACATATTTTGGAATGTCGAAGGACTTATTTGTTCCAAAAAATTGTCCAAGGACTTATTTAACATGTTTTGGAATATCCAAGGACTTATTTGTTTCAAAAAAAAGTCTAAGGACTTAATCATTCCAAACAAGAAAATCCATTGGTTTTTATTGTATTTTTCCCGATAAACAAATTGGAAACTACATACACTTTTTATTTTTGTATCATCTTAATTGTTTTGCCGAAAACTTTCTAATGATATATTTTGTTATAATTTAATAAATAACATAAATTAATCAAAACGTATAAACAACTCATTAGTGGTAAATTGATCATTTTACTTGTTCTATTCTGCCTTACCAAACGCTAAACAACTGTTCTGTTCTGTCGTATCCTGTCTGGATACCAAGATATTTTTAAATCATAGCTTTTGATAAACACATGTGAATAAAAAAAGTAAACATATGTGAAATATGTGAAACAATATGTTAAATCATAGTTTTTGATAAAAATAATATATAAATATATTTTTGTATCAGTTCTTACATGTTTGTAACCTTTTTATAATTCTCATTTGATTATCGTTATATATATATATATATATATATATATATATATATATTTGAGTTATTATACAACCAATACAACTTAATTTCAACCGTCCATTTAATTTGATGAATATATCATTTCATAAAAGTTCTGATTATTTTCTAATATAAAATAATAATCATGATTAATGAACTTTAATCATCTTTTATAAATATTTAAATCATAATAAATGAACTCTCATCATTTCCATAAATATCTCAATTGATTAGATTATATTGTTTTTACAAATAAACATGATTGCATTTAAAACATACCATATATATATTATATATATATATTTGGAAAAGTTCATACACTTATAAAAATGGTAATTTCATTTTTCTTCCCATTGTTCATTATTAGGTAGAAATTTAAAGAAAAAGTAAAATAAACCAATTTTGGTAACCAGAAAAAAAGAAGACAACGACGACGCGGTAAAACCGTAGGCATTTTACATCTTCCGGGACACGTGGCTTACTGTGGTTGGAAAGAAAAATATATGCAAGACCATGATGTATCAAGGTGGGGCCCGCGAAATTATCCATCTCCACCCGTATTTCTTTCGTTTGACTCCGAATTTCCTAAACTGCCCCTCCCAATGCTCAATATTACCTACTAATGCCCTTTTTCGGGGGTTAATAGAATAAATTAACTTTTTGCTTTTATTAAAAATTATGAATCGAAATATTTATTTTAGAATCATAATTCAAAACTTTTATCCATAAGTTTTGAATTATGATTTTTCAAAATTAAAATTTAAAATATATTTAAAAAAAAATAATTAATTCATTTAATTAAAAAGATTTTATTTTTGTAAAAAATCTTTAATTTTTTTTGATAATTCTTTTTGGTATTGGATGACGTCCCATGAAATAAATGCTTCTTTTTTTGTTCTGAAAAAGTTTATAATGTTTAGTATTTGATTATAATTGTTTGATTTATTAAGGTTATTAAAATGAAATATGTTTAATTAATATGAATTATATAAAATACATGTTTTAAAACACAATTTAAATAACAGATATTGTATTTGACAACAAAATAAGAAATGAAATGGTTTAAAAAGTTTGGTTTTAACAAGTAAATGTATTCAAAGACAAGGGCGTTTTGGTCAAAAATAAATTATACTCCTCTTGGGTCCTTTTAATAGATCTTAAGCCGTTAAAGGTGTAAAAAGTTAGAAGGGTTTTTTACTACATACATGGCTTTCGATATAACAAACTGATGGATGAAAATTTCAAAGGTTTCGAGAAAGAATCATGTGTAGAAATAAAAACCCATATAAAAAAATCCCTACTTTTTTGTTAATGTGTGATGATTTATGATCCGTTCAAGAATCAAGTTTTGTGGGTAATCTTGATTTGTATTTTTATGGTTTTTTTTTTTGGTAATTTTCAGTGTGTGTATTTGTAGAGAGAAAGAAAGAAAGAGAGATAGTGAGAGTCTGTTCCTCTCTCCAGCTTTTATGGCGTGAGGCCATACAAGTAAGACGGTGTGTACACTATACATACATACTGTATGTGAATTAGTGTATACAATGTTTCTTCATCTTTGCATGCTTCACCAAACTCATTTCCATAGATAAAAATTTCCCAAAAACTGAAAAAGGAGATGATGAAATGGGGATTCGTTTAATTAAAAGCCCATCTCTTCAATCGGATTGTTGATTGTTTCAAGGCGAACCCAGATGAAGAAAATTGGTAATTTGATGCGTCGTTTTCGATTTCAGTGTTCATTGATCGGTTTTCGTGATGTGGGTGTTCTGAATTTCTAGTTTGTGTTGTTTCGAATTTCTTCACTTGGCTGTGTTTGTGTTTTTGTTGTTGTACAATTCTGGTTGTTTTTGTGTATTGGAGATGGTTGAGAGAATTGAGATTACTAATGAGAATATGAAGGATGATGACGAGCTTGAATTGTTGTTGGGTGAGATCCCTCATGCAACATCACTTTCCCATCATCATAATCATGACCATCATAGCCATGTCAATGATGATGGTTATGTGCCTTTTGTTTCTCAGACCATGAATGGATTAATGATGTGTGGTATGTATGATGATGACCCATCATGTAGTTACAAGCAGAATACATGTATTTTCCCTCCTAGTACCACTTCTCTTCAATCTAATGGCTCCTTTTCAAGCTTCTTCTCTTCATTATCTGATAAAGGATCACCACCACCACCACCACCACCTCCATTAGATGATCCCACCCCCAAACCCCAATTGCTTTTCAGAAGTTACAGTTCTGTATTGCCCTATTCTTGTTTTGGGAAGAAAATTGATGAGAATTGGTTTAATGAATTGGGTTTAGCATGTAATCAAGGGGATGATTTAGTTCATGATCATAATGTGGGAACTAATCAAATCAATTTGACTAGATTAGAAGCTTCTGATACTTATAGCAAACCCTTTTCTGATTATGATGCACGTCAATCTCATGCTTCTAGAAGCTCCATGTTTAACGGTGAAATGAGTCCTGCTTTTTACGGCTTTCAGCAAAGCCATGGCTTCCCAGGGATGCAAATCCCACCTGGTCAAGCTCAGAATTTGTTCCCTGAATCTAATTTCCACAGAAATGTGTTAAATTTTCGGTTTCCTGTAAGTTATCAGAGGGGAATTCCAGCTTTAGATTTAGCTGTTCCTAATGGTTTATATCGTTCAAGACAAAATGGGATGTTGTTTATGGAACCAGGGGGAATTGGTCTACAACCAAATTTATCCAATGGAAGGGCGGTTAGTGGTTCAAATATGGTCGAGGGTTTAGAAGCTAGTGATGATAGTTTGATCATTCAGGGTGAAAGTGTAAATCAAGTGAGAAAGAAAGTAATGGGAGGTTTTAGAGGACAAAAAAAAGAGTGTTCTTTACATGAAAGTGGTCGTGAAAATGGTCGAATTGTAGGTGGTTGCGAAAATGGTCGAATTGCAATGACACATAGGTCTGCTCCTTCACCCATTAGGTGTAACACCTTGGCGGATGCTCAAGGGTACATACTTATGTTCGCTAAAGACCAAAATGGGTGTCGATATCTGCAAAGTGCTTTTGATGAGGGAAATCCACAACATGTGCAGATGGTGTTCAATGAGATCATTGGGGATGTGGTTGAGCTTATGATCAATCCATTTGGGAATTACCTTATGCAGAAACTGTTGGAAGTCTGTAATGAAGAACAAAAAATGCATATTCTAATGGAGGTCACTCGTGAGCCAAGGGAGCTTGTTCAAATTTCTTTGAACACACATGGGTAACTTTCTGTTTCTTGTGTAACTTTGTTAACGGACTTCAATTCAATGCTAACGTTAAAAAGTTACATTTTTGTTGAAGGACAAGGGTGGTGCAGAAGCTCATAGAAACACTCAAAACAAGACAACAAATTATGATGGTTATCTCTGCGCTTGAACCGGGATTTCTTGCTCTTATTAAGGACCTCAACGGTAACCATGTCATTCAGCGATGCTTGCAGTGCCTCACCAACGAAGATAATAAGGTTTGGACTTCTCTTCAAATCTTTGAGCATATGATACGATTTTAAGGAAAAAAGTTTCTTTCATTTCAAGTGTTTATGCTGATAATGGTTCAGCTCAATCTTTGCATGCTACTTATGGAGTCTTTTGAGAAGTAGAATAGGTTGTATTCTTGTTGTCCATTGTTGTGTCATCTCTAGAAGATATTGTTTATGCATACAAATGCTGGATCATGGTAATTTATGAAACAAAAACACATTGGCTTAAATCTTGTTGATAACTATGGCACTTTGACCAATCTCATGGGACCCTGAAGATAACAGCCGGGCCAACCTCCAGTGGCCCAGAGGGGACTCGAACTGATGACCAATGTGGAGAAAACCCATGGCCTGAAAAGTTGAGCTACCCCCAATGGTTCGTTGGCTTTATTTTTCTTGCTTTAATTCTAGTTACATTACTTTCAAGTGAAAAATATGTGAAGTTGATTTCTGAGCTTGAGTGATTGGAGATATGTTAAGTTTTTGTTAATCGGCATGTTTCAGTGAGTAGATATATAATACATCACAATGGAGAGCACTCGGACAATCTGTTGTTTTGTATGAGGCTATATGAAACCATGGCTTAACCTTGGAATGAGGAGTGTTTTTGTCTCTTGTCGTTTGACCATATCTACAAGTTGTTGACCACGTGTATGAGGGTATTGGGAATACAAGGAGGGGAACTTTGGTTAAAATTTAGAAATTAATGCTAAAGATCTAAAGCATAACTAGAGTATCATATGTCTGTGGTAGGGAAAGGTAAGGGAAGCTAGACTCTACTATGTGTTCTTTTCGCTTTATAGTTCAAACCATTATGGTCATATATGTGAAGTTGAAATGTTTTAATACTTCATCTTATTCATTGGTTTCGTTCTCGACTTGCGTAGTTTATTTGTACACGTGTATAAAAGCACCCTCAAATCTTTAAATTTTTTAAGAATTTTTGAGGTATAAGCTACCCCCGGAGCGCACGCTCCACAACCATCATAAGGTAGGAAAATTGCGGTGTCCAAGAGCAGGATTTGAACCTGAGTCCTCAGTTGTGGGTCCCCACCCCTTACCACCCAGGACAATTCGGTGGGACACCTATTGTCCACCGTCTACGTATCATGCATTCGGTTTTTCCTTGGAGCAACTAGCAACATAGCTCCTTGATTCATGATTTTTGTCAATGGACCATAATAGTTAGCGTTATTATCTTTGTCAAGACTTTCTCTCTTTCAACGGAAGAGTTATAACTGGACTTTTAAGGAAAAACTAGTCAAGCTGTCGGGGGTTTCTTAGAAACAACTTATCTGTTCTTATTTTTTTTATTAACCTGGATATCCAACCTGCTATGCGAGCTGACTAATCCCAGGGCGACCACTTATCTGTTCTTTTGAGATAGAGGTAAGGTCTGTATATATCTTACTCCGACCTGCACCTACCATCTGGTGGGATATATTTTGGATTAGAATAGTAACGAGTTAAACCTTAAGCTTCAAAAGGTACCTCTGTTTATGGAACACCGAGAGTATGCTAAGTTTCCTGTTTACTATACAAGTCTAGATGTATGATGGGGAATTTGATTGTTAGTTTGAGCATATGACCATACTAGAACTTGAAAAATGGGGGGTCTATCCGTTAGTTTTTATCTATTTGCTCTAACTTTGGGGGTAGAGTTCAGATCTGCACACATTATATCCTCCCTCACCTAACATTAGGGTGGGATATACTGGGCTCGTTTGGTTTTGTTCCGAAAGTTTGTATCTTTTTGCACTAATCTTTGTACATTATATCCTCCCCACACCCAACATCAAGGTTAGATATACTGGGCTCATTTGGTTTTGTTCTGCAAGTTTATCTCTTTGCTCTTGGGTGGTAGTTCATTTTTGAAGCTGCTGCAAAGTTCTGTGTTGACATTGCTACACATCAACACGGGTGTTGTGTATTGCAAAGATGCATCAATCACTCAACCGGCAAGCACCAAGAAAGCTTAGTTCTTGAAATTTCTTCAAATGGACTTCTTCTAGCGCAAGATGCATTCGGGTATACTAATAATCATCAAAACCGTTAAGAAAAGAGATTACTTTTTACATATAGCTGTTTTGAGGTTTCTTATGATCTTTGAATCTATAATGCAGAAACTATGTTGTACAATCTATATTGGAGCTACAAATCCCATCAGCAGTATCGATGCTGATTTCTCAGTTCGAGGGAAATTATGTCCATCTGGCGACACAAAAGTTCAGTAGCCATGTTGTTGAAAAATGCTTATCGGTTCTGGATGATCGAGCCAGGTCCACCATCATTCGTGAACTGCTTTCTGCTACTCATTTTGAACAGCTGCTTCAAGACCCGCATGCCAATTATGTTGTCCAAACCGCCCTTCGTGTTGCTGAGGTTTGGATCCCTTTCTCTCTAGTGGGTCCTTTGGTTAGATCAGTAAACGAGTTTTCAGTTAGGGGCATGACCTTTTATGAAAAATTTAACTCAATAACCCTCAAATAACCTGCCTCTTGTGTTAAACAATTAGCCTGTGTAAAATCTTCGGCCTATTTATCTCAATGACCTTCTCCGCAAGCTGGTTTTGCAAAATGACCCTGGGGTATATTTTCATTTTTCTGTTAGGGGCAGGTTCTTCTTTTTTTGGATTAACCTGGATATCCAACCCGCTAGGCGAGCCGACTAATTCCAGGGCGACCACCTGCTTTGCAGATAGCCCGGAGTCACCGCATTTGAACCTCCGTGGCTACAAGGGGATTTTTATTTCTCCTTGGATTTGAACCTGGGACCTCCTGATACTTTTGACCTTTGAAGTCAAGCTCAAACCAATCAGACACCACCCTTGTGGTTAGGTTCTTTTATATTAGAGCAGGTCAGATGAAGGTCATTGAGGTATAAAAATGAAAACTCGTTTAAGGTCATTCAACCGAGGACCCTAAAATCTTAAAATAACATTCGAAGGTTAGTTTGTAAAAATGACTTACATAGGAGGTCATTTTACAGAATTGCCCCTTCTCCTAGTTGACGTATGTCTAGTCGATTGCAAATGACGTGATTCTAGTTTTTTAACAGGGCGCTCTTCATAACTCGTTGGTGAAAGCGATCGAATCGCACAAGGCAATATCGAGAAACAGCCCGTATTCAAAGCGGATTTTCTCGCACAAGCTTTTGAAGAAGTGACTATTGGTCATAATGTTGTTGTTTTCTGTGTTCACTACTAGTTTTCTTTCTTTATCGTTCACGTTCGTCATAAATTATCGTTAAGGACCAGATAATTCGACGCTGCTCGTGTGTTAAATAACCCGATTCTGTTGCCCGTTTGGTGCCTGTGACTGGTTTTGTCATCGGTTTTGTTTGATTGCAAACATCTTTGAAATATAGGGAAAACAATTTTGGCTTAAGTTGGCGTTTTTGCTCTTATTATTTATATAATTTTTCGGATATTTATCATTATGACATTATCTATAAGGTTTTTTCTGTACATTTCAATTATTTCATATTAATTACACCTTCATGATCGAACCATGGGCGGACCCATAAGGACTCAGGGTCTTGTACACCTGCTCAACCGATTTTCGCAGTTATAGTTTTTTGGGTATGAAAGATGCACATGCTAAATTTTAAGGGGTACTCTGGAGCATTAGAAAACTTAAAGGGACGTCAACCAAAACCGAAAAAGACCTTGAACTTAACTAAAAGCCGAAAAATTCTCTTGAAATCAACAAAAAAGAACTTTAAAATCCTTCAAAATCAACAAAAAAAACTGGAAAAAAAAAATCATTCGAAATGGTTGATTTTTCCATAGGATCAAACCATGACTTTACGAGTCTTTGATCCACCTTAAAGACGTACCCGTTTGGCAAAAATATTGGGTCCGTCTCTACCCCCACCTATCGTTGCAACGACCTTCATCGTGCCTACGCCAAATTCATAAGGATCTTCCTAACCAGATCAAACATAGTTTTTCCTTTGTACGAATCAAGTTTTTTCAGAGTACTATCAATTATGTCAAATGCTTCATTCAAATTTTGTACTATTATATATGTATGTGTTTATGCATATGAAAATTGTGTAAAAATGTTTATAAATTAAACTAATTAAATATTTACTTCATTTATGTCAATTATAACTGTTATATGATATATCAAACAACTTTAAGAGCAACTTGTCTAATCTTATCTTAGCACTGCACGGATAAACAACTTGTCATGTCCAATCGTATCTGCATATAAAACACCACCTAAATATCGTTGGAAAACTTTCGCTTTAGAAAATCACACTCATTGGAAAATGATTTTTATACCTGTCGATATTCAGACAAAGTTCAAATTAAATATGACTTTTATTGTAGATTTTAAGTTTTTTTTATTAACCTGGATATCCAACCCGCTATGCGAGTCGACTAATCCCAGGACGACCACCTACTTTGCGGATAGCCCGGAGTCGGCGCATTTGAACCTCCGTGACTATAAGGGGATTTTCATTCCTCCTTGGATTTGAACCTGCAACCTCCTGATACTTTTGACATTTTGGATTTGAACCTGCAACCTCCTGATACTTTTGACATTTGGAGTCAAGCTCAAACTAATCAAGCACCACCATTGTGGTTGATTTTAAGTTTTCTTCTGTATTTAAAAAAAATATTACTGAAAATATTTTTAGATTTCCATTTCCACCAATCATCGTGGCTTCACCATTAACTTACAAATAATAAAAATATTTTGATTAAACTATAAATTTGATCGTCATGGTTTTTAAAAAATTACACTTTTAGTCAATACAGTTTCGATGTTATAACTTATAAGATGGTCATCGTGATTTGTTAAAACTGTTTGCATTTGGTCCTTTCATCTAACAGAAGTTAATCTTTTTATCAAATGAGAGATATTTTCGTTCCTTTTATCGATTTAATTACCCAATCAAAAACCATAAGAATCAAAATCGTAGAATCAATTTTAACTGAGTAAAAGGGAAAAAAAAAGTCAAGAAAAGGGACGAAAATGCCTCAAAATTTAACGTAATTCTTTAATGGCCATTAGAGAAAGGGACTAAATCTAGATGTTTTTGCAAATCACGATGGTCATCATGTAATTTCGAAACTTCAGGGAAGAAAAAGGTTATTTTTGACAAACCACAAGAACCAATTTTTTTTTATTAACATGGACATCGAACCCGCTATGCGAGCCGACTAATCCTAGGGCGACCACTTGCTTTGCAGATAGCCCAGAGTCACCGCATTTGAACCTCCATGGCCACAAGGGGACTTTTATTCCTACTTGGATTTGAACCTTTAACCTCCAGATACTTTTGACCTTTGGAGCCAAGCTCAAACCAATCAGGCACCCCCCTTGTGGTTAAGAACAAAATTTGTAGTTTACTCAAAATATTTTATATCGTATTTTAAATTTTTTTTTTAAAAAGTTCACCAAATTTATATCTAATTTTAGTTTACAAATAATGATAGTGGTGGATTCTGAATTTTAGCCGAGTGGGTGTACCACTGTACCTTTAATCAAATCAAATGCTGGTAAATTCAGGAGTTGTTTATTTACCTCTTAATAGTTTCATTAAGAAGCCGTTTCTGAATTGTTAAGAGGTAAATCTTGCTTGGTAATTTTTTTTTGTCTCTTAATGGTTCTAGAACTCTCTAAATGCTTTGTATTCAGGGTCTCCCTTAACCATTCAGCGCCCTAATTTCATTGTAAACAACTACCAGATAATTATATTTCATTTTGCACTATATCATGAGAGTCTATTAATCATTCCGACAACTTAATCATTCTGCACCAAACCATTTAACAGCTGCCAAACAACCCATCACTCGATGTATTTTTAGCCGAATTTTGTCCTTTTTTTTTTTTTTTGTTGATTAATGTATATTTTTATGTTGATTTCGAGAAACCTTTTTGGTTGATTTCGAGAGAGTTTTTCGGTTGATTTCGCGGGATCCTTTTGATTGATTTTGAGAGAATTTTTTGCTTTTTTGGTAAAGACTAATCTAAAAACTGAACAGGGACGAAGACATGGACGATCCCAATGTAGAGCATGAGGGGATCCGTGCCACCTTCTCGTTTCTCCATCGTAGTATAAAAATTTATAGGGGCTTGAAAAGTGTCATTGTATCAATTTGTTGTGTGCCACCATATATATTTTGAAACTACATGAGGAGACAACTACACAAGTTTTACTTGATAGAGTTTGTTTGCAATAAAATATTGCAATAAAAGACTTGGCACATGATCACACATAAAAACAATGAACTAACCAATGATGATTTTGTGAAAAATATATCTATATTTGTTTCTTATAGTCAAAACAGTACCACTTAGACTAAATTTCTAGGTCCGTCCCTAGACAAAGACTTGTGCTTCTGTTTATGAAAAAAATCAGAATTCGTGGTTCCGGAAGTAAAGTTGAGGGAGGGTCAACCATATATGAATACATGGACAGACCTACAGTGGTGTCAATGTGCCACAATATTATTTCTCCGTTGAAATGTAAAAAAATTTAGGTTCGTGAAAGGTGTAAGCGTATTAATTTGTTGTGCGCCACTATTTATATTTTGAAACTACAATGATAGCACGTTTTCTTCGGTAGAGTTGGTTTGTAAGACTTTTATTTCACCCTAGACCCGAGTTTGAATCCTGTTAGTATCATTTTCTTAATCAAATGGTATCACTATTTAAAAAATTCCCCTATATTTGTACTTATAGTCAAATGATGCTACTATTTGAATTTTTTCCAAAATAGTTTAGGATTTTTGAAATTTGTAGGTTTATAATAAAAATTAAAATATTATATATGTATTATCCATACTGTTGTAATGTTTGTATTTTGAAAATTATTTAATATATATTTAATTTAATAATAATCGAAACTGAAAAAAAGGAAAGTATTTTTCAACTTGGAAAATAGTAAAATAAAACTAAAAATGGCAAACAATTGACCCCACGTGAGCAGCTGAAACTCCACCAGAGCCACCACTTGCCCACCATGGGGTCCCACAAGTAGACGTGGCAGGTAAACTGCATACGTGGCACAATCATGAGATGGAAACTGATTGTATATCGTCCGTCTTTCTCGTCCACCAATTCCTAGATACACTCTCTCTCTCTTCTCCCCTCCTTTCTTTTGATCTCCCTGCCACGTGTCACCCTACAACTCCCCTTATTTCCCCCACCAAATATTATTTTATTTTTTATTTTTTTCTCAACGCAATCTCTCTCTCTCTCCAGAACCTACGAAACTGGTATTTGTGGATCCAGAACTAGGGTTTGTGGATGCAACTTTATTGATTTTCTCGGCCGAATTTGGTGGATATTTCATCTGGTATATTGACTTCGACTTTTCTGGTGAGTTTTTCCGGTAGATCTTACTTGAAATTGTGTTTTTTTTTGCTTTTGATTTTGTTAGTGTTCGAAACTTGTTTATGAGCTATGATTTCATGTTGTTTCAAGATACTATGTGTTGTATAGTTGATGCAAACAAATAATCAAAAGAACAAATGATCTTTTTAGGGTTTTTTCTTTCTCGTTTGACTTTTCTACTTGCTAATTTGTTCAGTAAGTTTGTTATTGTTTGAAATTTGCGTATGAGCTATGATTCATGTTGTTTCAAAAGTCTGTGTGTTGTATAGCTGGTGCGAAGAAAGAGTTAAATGAACAAAGGACGTTTTTGTGTGGGTTTTTTAGTCGTTTTGACTACTTTAGTTGCTAATTTGTTCAGTAATATTTGTTTAATTTTAATCGATTGAAAGATACTACTGTGAACCCTAAAATTTGTCTGATCTCCATTCATCGACACTATTTTCTAATATACGGTTATGCCTCTGTTCTGCTAACGATAAAGTTTCTGTATAAATGTTGTCTGACCTAAGAAGTTTGTGATAGAGGTATCATGGAGTTGGTTTTTCTTCCTAAGCGAACAAGATTTCATTTTCTTTTATTTATTGATTCTAATTTCAGGTGCAGTACTCTTTTTTTATTGTGTTTGTTGCTTTGTTGAACAGAGGTAAAGGGTGGTCTGTCTGTTTTATATTGTTACTTTGGTCAAGTATGAGGGTGGATCAGAACATGGGTGCATCATCACGTACTGGATAGAAGTTGAAGGAATGTCAGACTTGTCTATTTATGAGGTAGGAGTTTCATATTCATCAAGCTTTGTAATATTGTATTTGCAACGGTTCCATTGAGTAATTTGCTGAATGAGTTAGCTGTAACAAGTTTAGCGCTTTAGCTTATTGGTAATGTAAACTGTAACATGTTTTTGTCATTGCTCATGACAAGTGGTTGCGCAATTGAAGCTCTAATCAGTGAAGAAGACATGTGATTAGCTAGTAATATGTCTTCTACCTCAGGCACAACTGTACTTTCTTTAAAAGTTGTTTGATTTGTGTAAGAGCTTTCAGTTAGTGAATGCATAATATGTGTTCTTTTCCGATGCTAAATGTTCCAGGAAGTAATGTGAAAAGTATTGAAATGCATGCATGTGCATGTAAAGGATCCTTGCAGTGTTTACTTCTGTCAGTGAAGAGTTTCTTTTCTATCCTTTTTTTGATTAGAGGAATATTCTTCAGTCTACTTCAAATGAGAGCAATGCTGGACATGATGATGTATTAGTGACTTAGTGTTCATCTATTTTCCTTTGTATGCAACTTAATGAGGTGGAGCTTTAGATCTGCATAGTGTTGTCCCTTAATGTACCCACTTGAGCCTTGAAATCTGTTGACTGTTTAATGTTGCCAAACTGGAGTGCCAAATGCAGAGCTAGCCTGCTTTATTATCAGTATAGAGTGGCTGTCTGTAAGCTTTAAACCACACGATCATAATATACTGGGCAAGGTTTTTACTACTGGCCCTCTATTCTTTTAAAATCCTGATCTTGAGTTTACGAACTAACCATCAAGCAGTGTCTCCTGTTTATATGAAATTTAAGAGAAGTTGGTTAACTCTACAGTTGCTACAGCTAAAATTTTGTAACTGGTGTTACAGCTTGAAGATATCATCTGGGATGACTTTGATCGCAGTGGTGATCATATAGTGCCCCACTCTGGTAACAACCATGGTAGTGAAGATAAATGTGAGGAAGACAGCTGTAAGAAGCCTCGACATGAAGAAACACCTCTTCAGAGCAATACAGGCAACCTTTATGCTTCTGGTGATGTTTGTCAAGTAAAGGAAGAAAGAGACACTAAGACATTAAATGAAAAAAGGAACATGATGGAACAAGATTCATGGTCTCATAGACCTGATGATGTATTTGCTGCTTCTGGTGATGCTGGCACAGCAGAAGACATGCCTGGTTTACAAATTGGTGATGCTGGGATATCAAATCATTGCTTCAAAAGCAGCAACATCACCTCTGACAGTGAATTATGCACAGATGATGGCATCCCCAAAGATGCCTCTGCTGCAGTTGATAGTAACTCCTACAATTACCCTCCAAGTCACATCCACCAGTCGGCTGATCTTAATTTATTCTCCAATGATTGTGATGATAAACAATCAAGTGATCTTTTATATTATGGCTGGCCTGATATTGGGAACTTTGAGGACGTGGACAGGATGTTAAGGTAATCCTCACTTCAAAAAACTGAAGAAAAATATGTTTACTTTTTTTAATGTTAGGATAATTTTCATGCAAGGAATTAAATTCTCCCCTTTTCAGTTATTATCACAAAATATGGATTTACATACATCATTTCCATGTGCAGCAATTGTGATTCGTCATTTGGACTGGGCGTTACAGGGAGTGGCGATGAATTGGTGTGGTTTACATCCGAAGATCCAGCTGGAGGATATGAAGAAGCATTGAAGATGGACCTCAAGTTTCCATGTTCAGAGTCAAGTGCTTTAACAAATATGTCACAGGATAATGGACCTCATGAATCAGATAACAGATCTAGTTTTGTCTCTGAAAGCGAAGATCAATTTAAGCTCAAAGATCAGGTTGGTCTGGTTCTATTTATCAAAGCAAGTTTGATGTACGTTCACTCTTACCAATTGAACCATCTTTACAAAATGTTGTGTAACTGTTGGTAATGTTTCTTTAATTGCGAATCTGAGTTCATTGTTGTGGTCCCTTAGAAAACGATGCAAGGAATACCCACTTACAGAAGGTTAGAAATGGTGTTTAGAACAATTTTCTTTCAGACACACAAGTTTCGTAGGGTTGACACATACACGAACTCTTGGTTGAAGAATTTCATTTACCATATTCTGAGTGGAAATTGCATGGGGACTGCCATTTTTACATCGTTTTTGTCTGTAGAAGTTATTGATACGTTCATATCACCTGGTCTATTGTCAGTGAGCTACACTTTTCTGATGTTGACCTTTACACTCTCTTGTGTATAACCTGTATGTTTGAAAATCTTTTGCATTACATCTAACTACATAATTGATATAATCAATATGTCCATTTGCAGAAAAAACAGTCAAAGCAACAGAATCAGACAGAAGGAAAGAAAGCAGGTCGGTGTGTTGTAAATTATGGTTTGAAAAGCAATGACATTCGGCTTTCTTCAAGCGATGAATCTGATCAAGTTTTCACCTCCATAGGCAACTGGCAGCAAAATAAAAGCTTAGAACATGATTCTTTTCGCTACAAGCAGAGCAGCTCTTATCTGCATTCAGGTCATGATCATGTTCCAATGCAAACTAACGGTGCCCAGGTGATGACTGGAATCAAATCTGAAAATAAGGGTCTCGCAGCTCCTTTCCGAAAAGAAGCTTCCAATGCAACAAACCAGGTTCATTCAGTGGAGAGTCTCGGTGATTCTTTATTTCAGGGGGCTGCTTTTGAAATCTCTGAGAGAAGAAAAGTACATCATGCACATGCATCCCAGCCTTCACTTAGTGGAAACCAAAAACAAATGGGTATGATGCTTCAGGCTTCAGGAAATGACCTGTTCTCATCCCAAAAGCAATTCCATATTTTGGAAAAAAAACCTGAAAGCCAAAATGATATGGAGGAAGTTAAGAAAGGAGCTTCTGCAGAATTAGCTATGATAGGTGTACCAGAAGGCTCTTCCATTAGTTCTGAGGTGGATGAAATCTCACTAGAAGCAACTAGTTTCCTCCAGCTTCAACAGGTTATGGAACAGGTAGGATGACATTGCCTTTCTTCATCAAGGAATCTGGTTTTTGCATTAGAGGTCTTAATACTATCATGATATAAGTACAGATTATATTCATCATTGGACATCCCTGTTGTATCCACTGGTTAACGCAGAAGCTTTGAACATCCCTATTGCATTATCAATGTTTCTAAAAGTTGGACTGCTTAATTGTAGCCACACATGTCAAAATCCTAAACTTGCATTCCTAGCCCCTTTTCTTGTTAGAATTCTGCATGTTGTATGCTATTAATACATATCCTCAAGGCACAGTTGTTTTGCTTGGCATTCCCCCATCTAATGCAAGGTAAAATTTGAACCGTATTTATTACTACCTGTAGATGCATATCAGCCCACATCAAGGAGAAATATGTGACGTTCTTGAGCTACCAAAGCATCCAGTTATTATGTTAATAAGTTTTTGATGCATATCAGCCCTCATCAAGTAGACGGTTTCTATAGAGAATGAAGATACAAACTTCAAGAAAAACTAAGGTAGGCTGGCTTTTTGGGCCTGATTGTATTCCAACTGCGGCATGAATATGCCTTAAGGAAGTAGAAATAGTTTAAATTACTAAGCTTTTAATGGTATTCTCAATACAAAGAAGATGCTTAATGAGTATTGGCCCTGATTGACAGAACTAAAGGAAATGCTCCAAGTTGCATTAATTTCCGTGTCAAGCTGATAAGCCGTACACTGGAGGTATAATTTGGTTATTGTGCAAAGGTAAAGAACACAAGCTGGTTTTTTTAGAAATCAATTTGGATCGTTGCCATAAAGAAGCATAGGAGAAGCTATATTCTTAATGAAACAATTTACTGGAAGATACTAGGGCAGCTAGAAATTTGCATATCGTACTTATATTAATCAAGGTGATCAGCCAGCTGTTAAGGCCTCTATTGGCCTCGATAGGCAGGTATTAAGCTGGGAGTCTGTAAGAGTACATAAGATTGAAGACCTAACTGCAGCAGTATTGATGATTTCATGATCTTCAATCTAGCCTTGGATTGATGTAGTATTGTAGAGGGAGGAAAAAAGGATTCTGCAATATTATTCAGAGGTAGGGGTATGACCAGTTCAACATGAGGGAAATGGTCAAGAGATATTCAAATATTCAAACCCTTAAATAGAAGAACATGGAGAGATGTCATTCATGTTCTAGAGTCCTACTCATCTCTTCTAATTTTTAGCGCTTTCATATTATTCATACCATAACCACTTTTAAAGTATGGGGTGGGAATCAAAAAGGTTTTGTTGTCGCTGTGGAGCTAAGTCTTCCCTGTAGACACTTCACTAGCACGTCTTGTTGGCCAAAAATGGTTGTATAGCAGACTTCATGTTCGTTAAAGGCAATTTAACATTCCCATTATATAGTTCTAAAATAATGTAATAGTTTGCTCCAACTGAACCCAAAAGGTAATGAGCCCAGAATGCCATGACTAATGTAATTAATATAGCAGAAGCATCTATTTTTAATCATTTTAGCTGTGAGTGAGCAACATTTGGAATACCTGGAAGGGCCTATCAAGTGCAAAGGAAGTTATTAGAACACATTGCTAAGCAATGAAAAGAAGTGCAGCAAAGCACTTCAGCAGAAGTATGGAAATCCAATCCAAGTTAAGGTAGACAAGTGGTAAAGGAACTTTGCCTTCTCTAGGATAGATGTATCCTATAACATGCTTATCTGTTGTCCAAGGACTGAAGGAGAATGTAAACGCCCATAGCCCTATGGACCCTGTGTATCATTCACATGGTTCGTACCTAGTGGTTCAATTGCTCACAATCAGGTGCCCTACGTATAATTGATACTGTGATTGTATTTATGAGAGATACCCATCGGGTTAGAGGAACTCAAGGTGTTGCAAGCCACGGTTCTTGACAGGTGCTAGAAATTGTGGTCAGCATTTTAGTGTGACGATGTTTATATGCAAGAGAAAGATAAAAGGGTAACAAAATGTCGTTCACTTGGGTGGATGTCAAACACGTGGCCAACCGATGTTAAAGGCAAAGGCAACCTTGTGCAGTAATTGAAATTTGACAATCAGTGAACGCTGGTTTTGCAATTCTTTTAGGTTAACAATGAGAAATGAAACCAACAAAGAATGAAGGAATAAGTTCTATGATGTTGAACAAGACATAATAGGTAGTTCTTACAAAAACATTGAATTGTAATATAGGTAAAGATGATTTTGAAGTTGAAAAACTGAAGCATACTAGACATCTTCTTAATTCCAGGATGACCATGGTTGAGTGAATCCAGTTATAAAGAGCATGGCTGGCTCTGGTTACATTCCTAAAATCAGCATGAAGGAAAGCAACTCATGGGTGATCTCCAAAGAGAGATATGGAATGGAGGACTCCACCAAAATCCCAACTAATAATGTGCGAGGGATAGAGGAGGGGGAGGGAGGGAGGGGGAGAGAGATGAGGGGGGAGACAGATCTTGTGATTATCTAAGACAGGAGTTTTGATGAGGAGATTGAAGGTAATATTAATCATCTTTGCAGGTTCCGAGCTGATGTGGATGGGGTAGTTCCTATGGCACTCTGCAAGATAATTGTGTTTTGTCAAGTAGGCCTCCTCACACACAGCAGGTAGCCCATTGGGTGGACCTGTAGGGGGCTTGCAGTGGAGAGGTCTCTTTGACTAGCCCCTTTGATACTTTTTTTTTTTTTTTAATATGTATTAGTGTTCTTCATAAATCTTAAGGTAGTACATGGCACAATTTGTATGTATTCTTCTTGATTGTATTGCTAGCTTTCTAAGTTGTGTGGTTTGGACCTGTGTACTTTGCAGTTGGATTTGAGCACGAAGTTATGCATCAGGGATAGTCTGTACCGTTTGGCTAGAAGTGCAGAACAACGACATAACTATGCCGGTATAAGAGACAGAACTACAAACTGTGGAGCTACTGATGGGCCTTTAATGACTGAAGGGACTGACAAGTATGTTTTCTTTCTCTAATTTCAACATTTTAAGTGATTAGTTAGCCTTCATAAATTGTTTGCAATGGAACGCTTGAGCAAAGGCATATTGACATTCCTGATATTGGTAGTTTCATAGCACAGTTGCTCTGTCGAAATTGGTAGCTTGTTACATGCCTCCATAAGTCAACTTCATGGACTTTGATTAGTGCTTATATGGCAGCTATTTGAGGGATGGTGGCATTTGTAAGTTATCTGTAATTTAGAGGTCAGGAACACTTGTGAATTCAAAGAGGGTGGATCGGTAGTTTTGCTTCAGTCCCTGGTTGGAGTCCAGATGCCAATGGAGGGTCATGAGCTTCGGAAAGGCATAAGATTGTAGTTGAGTAAAGTATGGACAAATGAACCATATGTAATGAAGTTAAAAAGACATTGGCGTTTTGCAGTAAAGCGACTACTGCCTCTTTTGGTATTAGACGGTGATGATTAAATGCAGGAATGAAGACAGAAAGTTTGTACCAAAGGGGCCAAATGATAAAAATATTGTGTTGTGGAACATTAATTCTTTGTACTCTCAGCATAATGGCCTAGTTTCTTCTCTTTCCTTTTTCTGTTGGGGGAGGGGGGTAGATATGCCTTCACATAGATGCTTCACAAGGTTGAAGGGAAAAGCCATGGATGCTACTTAGCGCTCAAGTACATTTGTCCCTGGTTGGATGGTTGTACACATGCCGATATCAAGGGATGGCATTACTTTTGAATGGTGGTGTTGGAACTCCAATAATAACTATTGTTATATCATGTGTTTGGCCTCTACCGTCAATGACAGAAAATTGAAAACGAAAAATATGCTTTGTTGCTGCCCAAACACAAACTCGCTCAATGCTTATACCACAAAACACAATGTGACAAGTTGAGTGTGGTTTGGGTTGACAACGTTAATTGTAATAGACAATCCTTGAATAAGCTTAGGAGTTCTGTAGAAGTTCTGATACAGGCCATTAGAGATCAAAAATCTGTTATGTCAACACAGTATACAACTGATGATCAGAAGTAAAACTAAGAAAGCAGATGTGTTGGATACATTGTTGCCATCAATTCTTGAGGATCCGGCTCCAACAGCCTGTAAGGAACTTGATGTGAAAAGAATTGTTGAACTCCAGGAAGAGAGAATGTTTCGCAAGGAGGATGAAACATTGTGTTGTGCGCACATTAAGAACCCTCTTTCTTTCTTTGACCGCTTATATAATGTATATGCATCGATAACAGATTGAAGAGAGTTATGGAGCACGGTCAAGTATAAGTACAAGATACATGATAAAAGGTATTAACAAGTGAATTCTCTTATGTATTTTGCATAAATGCACAAGTGAGAACCATTATGTCAAAACCCGAAAGAAATGATGGTGGTATCAAATCTTTCTTGCCAATGTTTTATTTGTTAGCTTGTTTTAAGTCATACAGAGGCTTAACAAGTCTACACACTTTCTGCTCTTGTGATGATTATTACAAACCCTTTGGGTTGCTTCAAGTAAACCTCTTCATTTAAGTATCCGTTCAAAAAGGCCGTTTCACATCTGTTTGATGAATGGACAATTCTTTTACGGTTGAAAGTGCTATACAAGTTCATATAGAACTGATTCTAGCAAAAGAAGCATAATTGTTGAGGCAATCAACTCCCTCTTTTTGTCTGGATTCTTTAGCCACCAATCTTGTCTTAAAAGGTAGGTACCGATCCATTTTGGTGTAGTTTTCTTTTGAATATCCATTTGGAACCTATAGGTTTCACACCTTTGGGTAGATCAACTAACTCCCAAGTTTCATTACTCACCATAATGGAATCTATTTAGTTATCTTAATATTCGTTGGATAATGCTAAAAATAGCAAGGCATATAGATTGTTAGACAAAATCAGGTGCAATCATAGAATTCTTTTATCTGACTTGAACATAGTCAAGGATAAAGTAGGTGATAAAGTAAATGAATGAGAAAGCTATGATGATAAGAAAAAAAATGCTATTTGATCAAACCTAGCGAGGAATTGGAACAAACTTTTGGTTAATGAAATCAATTGAACACTCTTTTGTTGTTGGTATTTTGTGGTGGTTTAAAAGATTGCTTTTGAGGTAGTTTTTTTGATGATTTAGAACACTGCTTTTGCATAAGTTTCTACGATGGATTGGTAGATTGGTTTCACATTTGATGAATGAACGTTGTTTTGATATTTTGGAATCAATTTTGCTGTAAAATAATATTTATGGCTTAGTAGATGGGTTTGGTCTTCCTATGGGTATAAATCTCTGCCCATTTTTGCAATCTCTTCTATATTTATATTTTGTGCATGTCTTTTGATGATTTGACTTTCTATTACATAAATCATAGTAAGTCTTATTGTTGTCCAATTTGGACGTACATATCAAAGATGCTCAAACTTAACCCTTCACAACAATCTTAATGTGAATGTTAAGTCGTTTGTCATGAAAGGATTTGATAAGGGCTAGGAAACATATTTCAGGAGAAAATAAAGGATAATTGTCATCTTATCCAACTTAATTGATATTTTAGATAGTTTGTTTATTGTACTAGGATTCCATACAATCAATCATAAATAGAGGGTAAGGTAAAAGGTAGGCAAATTCATAGTATTTCTGTAATAATACTTTTAGGTTTTGTTACCATTTCAGGTATTGAACCAATATAATTCGCTTTAGGTCCTATCAGTATGTTTGCAATTTCACTATATATTGGAATGAGACAAGAGTTGGTGGGTAGGACAAGAGTTGTGTACATATCAATTGTATGAAATTATTTTCTAGTCTTACTGTGAATGAATCTTCACAATAGATATAATGTAAGGTTTAATTTGATTTCGTGAAAGTTTGTTTCTAATTTCACATTTAAATAGATTATATAATCTAGTTACCGATGTAGTATAAATTGTTTCAAGATAATAAGTTTCATGTATGAAATTGTTCTATCTTAAGATCCATTTAATGAACTTTAACAACAAACTTAGTTTGAAGGTTCCGTTTTAAATAGAAAGTGTAAAGTATTAACAAAAAAAATTATATTCAACATCAACATAAATGGAAACAAGTAAAATATTAAATAATACACAACTAAATATTATAAAATGAATATGACATAAATGGATGTTCATGATATTCATGATGTAAAGTAAAAAAGCCCATCAATCTAGCATTCGTTGTTCTTTGGACAATTCCTAGAGTCATGATTGATTAGTATGTTGTTGACAACTTCCCCAAACTTCTTTCCATTTCAATTTTTGTTAACATATTCTCCTCATGCACTAACAGATCGTTTGCTTGTTCCACGACCTTTCTTCCTTGCATTCTTGGGAACTTGGAGTTCTCTGTCACCTCAACAGGTCATGTTGTACAAAGTAAACTTTCAATTATACGGTTTTTGCTTCTTGAAGACTCCGTAACACTACTAGAACCAGTTTAGTATCAAACAACCTGATATTATCTAGGAATTAACGAAGTTCCTAAAATCATTGCCTGAACGATTAGTGATGCCGTCCAACTAAGGAGTATATGTCAGAAACAACTTTGTTTGCATCTGGAGTTCCGTTCGACATTCCCATAGTTTATAAGTTGATGGTAACTTGACATCCTCTTTTCTCCAAGTATATATTGTTTCGAAATTTTCTTGATCTCATGACACGTTAACACATAGACGACATGACAACATAATGCATCAATAAAAATTTGAAACACTACATACTTAGACGTTGGAGAAAAGAGGCTGTCAAGTTACTATCAACTGAGACAATATTGAATGAAACTCCAAATGTAAATAATGCTCTTTTTGACATATACTCTTTAGTTGAGCGCATTACTAATCATTTAGGCAATGATGTTGAGGAACTTTGTTAATTTCTAGAGAATATAAAGTTGTGTGATAATGAGTTGGATTCTACTGGTGTTACCGAGTCTTCAAAGAGGAAAAAGACTACGATGGAAAATTAACTTGGTACAACACAACGTGTTGAAGTGACTGTTCTAGTTCCCAAAAATGTAAGGACCAAAGAATGTGGAACACACAAATGATATGTTAGCACATGAGAAGAATCAATTAGCTAAAATTCAAGTGGAAAGAGGAGTTGCAGTAGTTGTGAGCAACTTACTAATCATGACTCTATGAACTGTCCAAAGAACCATGAGCTCTAGACTGATGGTTTTTTTACTTCACATCAGGAGTCCAATAAACTTTCTTTTAAATCATTTATTTTATGAAGTTCATTTGCTTTTTTTTGGGTATTTTAGTTGTTTTCAG